ATATATATATATATATATAACTTTTTTTTATATCTTTATATAATTATTTTAGAAAAAATTATTAAAATGGAGTGACAAAAAATTGAGTCATGCAAACTAGGCGTGAGCAGAAATTTCGGCCCCGACCGAATCCGAAGTGCCCGCAGGTAAGTTTCTTAGTGCGGCCGGTTTATTGCAGTTTTTTCGGGTTTTCGGGTTGGTAAAGTCGGTTTGTTATGGGTTTTGGTGGTCGGGTTCGGATTAAAAATTTGAACCCGTAGATATCCATACCCGACCGACCCAAAACACTTAAAAGGTGTGATATTTATTCTTTTAAAGGTAGCAGTCGCGAGACGAGAGGAAACCTAAACCCTAAGCGTCGCTGCTCGCGAAACCTTCTCTAAAGTCCTTTAAAATCCTAATCCAATACACCCCCTAAATTTTGCATTTCTATTTCGTCTGCTTTTGAAAACTTATAATCACCACACAAAAAAAGGTCATATCTTAAAAATGTTATTCAATAGATTTGTCTGCTTAAGAGAAGTTGAAATATTGTTTGTATATACAAACACTTTTGATCGACATATATAATTTCTTTTATACCAATGAAATTGTCCATTACTATGATATATTCATTCTCTCTACTATTCAATGAATCAAGGGTACTCAAATATATATATTAGCATAGCATATACATGCACGAACAATGTAGAGCATTAATATACAATAACTTAGGGATAATTTTATATAGAAAATTAATGTATATCATCATCTATAATGTTTCTACTAATTAATCAACTTTTGACAAAGAATATGTTAAAATGAGTAAAGCTAATGGATAAGTGGCTATTTCGATGATGATATAACCTGCCAATACATTCTTTCCAAATAATAAGTTATGTGTACACGTATTGTATATTTTGGTTGTTTATATTTGAAGTTGAAGGTTTATCTGATTGGTCCTATAGTTGGACCAGGTCATTTTCATTTCCACAAGAAGATAAGGACATGGATGAAAGCTAAAAAACCAATGGCGAAATAAAAGGTTGTTCAGAGCAAGTTTTCAAATGTTTCTTCTTGAAGCCGTCAACCAGCCAGAGACAGACACAGTGGTGGAATTGATCTTGTCTTTGTGAAGAAGGGTAAGCAGAATGTCATCCAATTCGTTAGGTTATGAATCGAAAATCAACCTAGAATGTAATGCTTGCACTTGAAGCTTGTGGGGTATCCATGCATGATAACATAATAAGATAAAGCCTCCAACAAGACTTTAACAAATTAATTATAATTAGTGCACCTCTCTCCTTCTCTCTCTCTTCAATTTGACAATGGAAAAGACAGCATTGTAACTGAACATGATCAGAAAGTCTCAACTACCCACTCTCAGTAACCAAATATTCCAATAAGGCCAATACAATACTTATTTGGCTTGTTTGTTGGCCTCTCACATCATGTGTCATACCAAGAATAATGAAAATTCATATATGGTTGAAACCATGGATAATAATCGTTCAAAATGTGTTTGGTTTATTATTGGAGATTATATGACAGCACGTACTGCTTTATTCTCACACGACGACGCACTTGTCATTTATGGTAGCGTGAGTTAGGCCAAGCTGTAAAGAGATGATAGGAGCCCAAAAACATGGATATGAGAAAGAAGTGATATGAAGCTTATTGTAGGGATTGTAAGTTTACTAATTAAACATAGGATCCGCTAATATACGTGAATATATTTTTTTTCTTTTTAATTTAATAAGAAAGTAAAACTCTTTTTCACTATACTCATCTCAAATAAAGTAATATTTTTAGTCACGATTTCATGACTAAGTTAAAAATCAAATTTCAACATTTGATTAAAGAATACAAATATCAAATATCAAATTATTTGTATTAGTTATTTTTAATTATGTGAATACGTGCCTATAAAATAATTATTTCTAAAAAAGTATAATTCATTCACATAAACTTAACTCCTAAATAAAGTGATATCTTTAGTCACAATTTCATACTCAAATCAATAATTGAACTTTAATCTTTAGTTAAGGAATACAAATGTTAAAGCACTTGAACTCCTAACCTTTGCTACATTTCATTAAATATAAGTATTTTTTTATTTAGAATTTAATATGAAATTAAAGCTTAAAATTACAATTCACTTTGTAACGGATAAGTGTGTGGTTCAAGTAAAACATACTTTATATCATTTAAGTAAATTCTCAAGTTTAAGCACATGATGGATGTTTAAAAAAATGCATGATTAAGATGAAAGACCTCATGAATGATAGTCAAACAATTTTTTTGATAAAAATTAATGAATATTTAGTATGAATAACAAAACGATAAAAAAAATTAAAATCTTAACTCCATAGTTCTACCAAATTATAAAATAATTAGTTTGAGTTATTTTAAATTGTCAATTCTCAATATTTTAAAATTATCATATCTTTGCCTCATCCAATTTTTTCCCCCACAAGTAATGTTATATCCATAGTTTTAAAAACCGTACCGGTCATCGAACCAATTAAGGTACTGGGTTAGTGGGTCAAAAGTTGAACCGGTGAATTACTAGTTGAACCAGTGAGTTACTAGTTGAACCGCATGACTCGATTTTTATTTATTTTTATTAAAAAAATATTCATATTAAATATATTTTATACTTATAAATTTTAATAAATTCATATCTTATTTTAAATTTCAATTTTTCTATCTTATTTAAAATTATTTTTATTTTTATTTTATAAAAAAATACATAAAAAATTACATGTTAAACTATATATTAATACAAATTAAAAATATAAATAATATGTACATATATAATATGCTTGCAATTGATATCACAAAATAATATATGTAATATCTACATAGATATTATATTATTAAATATATAATTTTAAATTAATAATATACTATAAAAGTTATTTAAGTTGTATATATTACAAACAAATACATTAGAACAAGTAGTTATTGTTATATTTAATAAGATTCTTTGCTCTTCCATTAAGAGATTCAATTATTATTATTATTATTATTATTTTTGTGGTTTATGGTCCCTTGAATTTTTTTTTTTAAAATAAGAAAAAAAAAGTGGTTGAACCGGTTTGACCTACCGGTTCACCGGTTGAACCGGAAAATTGACCGTTTCAATCCAGTTTGAAACGGGTCGACTGCATAATTGATCGAACTTAAGATTCGGACCGGCTGGACCACCGATTCCCGGTCCAACCAGTCCGACCGGCCGGTTCGATCCGAGTTTTAAATCACTGGTTATATCCAATTAGAAATCCTCTCGCTTCCTTTAATAAGTATGAAATGAAAACTAAATGAATTTAATGTCCTAAAAATATATTAAAAAAATCCAATATATACTATAAATATAAAAATAAGTATAATAAAATTTAAAGTACCACACTAAATTTAGTAAGTAATAGTCACGTGATAAATTTTGATAGACTTTGGAGATAGGGATAACAGAGGTAGGGTATGGTGGGTGATTCATCTCCGAAAACCTATTTCTATCTTTGTTAAGGATGAAAATTTTATACTCAATTCAGTATGGATCTTGAAAACCCATCCCCATAACTAAGAGAATATATTTCAATCCCGTATGTTTTAAAATAAATTATATATCAAACACATTTAAATTAAATAGTAATACACAAAATAAAGTAAAAATTCAAAAATCAAATGTATTTTTAATATAAAAATGTAAATTTAACTATTATTGAGGTGTATTGAACTCAAGTTGGAGATGAATATATATTTATATCTCGAAATCCACCTCGCTATTTACATATAAATTTTATTTTATTTTTTCTTATCAAAGTCAGAACAGGATAAACCAAACATCCATGAGTTGGGTTTTTTTTTTCTTCTATATCTAATTCCTGAATTTCGACTGCGATGGATAAACTAAATAAGTATACTTTCATGGATTTAAATAGACCTCCCCGTGCAAAAGAATAATGAATTAAGAAGTCTAGAGTTTAAAACGAATGTTTTAGATATGTATTTAATTTAACTTGTTTTGTATTATATATATATATATATATATATAAGACCAACAATTCACTTGTCTGAACTAGAGTAAAGATACCAAAACACTATGAAAAACATAAAATACTTTACTTAAATTTTATCCTAACATGAAAGAATAAAGGGGATCTTATTCATGTAAAAATCAAGTAAAATCAAAATAAATTCGAAGATTTTATCGATGTATATTTCTAACTAAAACTAAATGAGACTCCATTCCCTTTTCTAATATCACGTTACTTATAGTAATAAATAGAGTAAATGTCATTTCTTTTGCTATAAAATATAATAAAATTAGCAAAATATTTATGTGTTTCAAGGTTGGATTTTTTATTTTTAGCTTTTGTAAACTGAGACTGATGGTGATATTTATAACATAATAAACCACAATAAAGCAAACCAAAAAATACCAAGCAGTTAATCTGTCCATGGAAATCTACTTTGTCTTTCTTATATCCAGTTTGGTAGCATTGTTTGTTTACCAAAACACAAAAGAACAATATTTAAAACAATTATTTCAAAGTATTTTCCAAAATAAACAAACTCTATAAACCGTCGACTCTATATAGGAAATCATTGGATTTTGTAAAATCAAAGATAAATGCCCCCATTAAACCCCGAAATTCATACCTTCCTAGTTTCCCCTGATCATAGACGTGATTGTCACTTACCCTTTTGCCAACTTCTCAATCTTTTACAGTTCTTAGATAAGCTTGACTTTCAATAAATTTTAAAAGCAAAATGATTCATCTAATTGCTAATTTCAAGAGCTACTCCAAATCTCTGCAGCATTAACTTGGAGCACCAGAAAGTCATCATAATTCACAATGTCATGCCATGGTACCTTGAACCTTCAAAGCTTGATCACAAAGGTTTTCTAATAGTTCTGCTGAAGCTGAAAATATTCGAGAACTTGGCAAGCATACAGAAGAGGCAACCTTCTTTATGTGTGAAACAAATAAAAAAAAGAATTTTAGTCTTTTATGTCAGCCACAATAAGTATCCACAGCATGAGCTTCATCACTGTGCTATGCATCTTTGTCCTTTAAAATGGAGGGACCTTGTTATTTGAATCTTAAGTGAACATTCAAGCTGGTCTTATTCCTCAGAAACCTTGAAGAAGGTATACGATAATATAATGTTATTGATACCATTCATTTTAGGATCCGTCTCAAATTCGGGGTCAATATAAAAGAATACCTACAGTACAAGCAACATAGTGTTAGATGCACGTGCATTATGCTCAAATAAGAGTTCAGTTTGAAACCACTTACAGGCATGTCAATCTGCTCTCCAGGAAGCAGTCGTTGCTCCTCAAAGCAGAAGCATTGTATTTTATTGAAGTAGACTGCAGCCTGTAAAGGAAAATTTATAATTTGGACATTTTGTAAAATTAATAATAAGAAAGAAATGAGAAAAAAAATGAAAAAAAAAAACTTCAATAAGTAAAGCAGAAAAAAGATCACAAAAGGCTTGCGACAGGCTGATTTAATATAAGTTCTTAGCCAAAAGACAAGGTTATAACCAAAAATCTAAAGTATGTAGAGTTCACGACAACCTTTGTTATACAATAGAAAAGAGTATTCATCAGTAGTTCGTACCTTCATAGGAGTGACATTATACGTAGAAACACCTGTTATTGGAGTAGAACTTTTGTTTTCGGCAGTATAAAATGCGAGGGCACTTTCACCGGGCTTGACTCTAACCTGGTAAAATAAATGAATTATGCTACGTTGCAGATTTTACTTTTTCTTTCTCCTTTCCCCCCGGAGTGCCAAGGGATGTATAAAATACTACAACATCCAACTTTTCTAATGACATAAAACATTTGCAAGCTAACAGAAGCACTGAAACGCACAGTAAAATGAGCAAGTATAAAGTAAGTGTATGTTGAGAATATGCCTTTAGATGCTGTCAAAGTAGTTTTGGTTTTTATTTTTGAATAATAAAAATATGTTATTGTGGTGTTAGTGAATCAGTTAGCTTCAAATTTTATTCTTCAATTATTATTATAAAATCCTAAAATCATGGAGTATTATTTTTATTCAGTTATTTCAATGTATTTAAATATAAGTCATATTTAACAAAAAAGGTACCTTTTGCATTAAAAAATAGTTGCATTGTTTCGTTACTTTGTTACTTTTCCTTATCCTTAGACTAAAACCAACAATTGGTATCAAAGTCTTTCTTCTTAAGGGATCGACTTAGAATGAGAGCCTACTATATAAATTCCAAAAATTAGAAAGAATATGCAGACTGAAAACCCAGTTGTTGCACCTTCAGTTATTGATGGAGAAAATTATCAAGTTTGGGAACTTAAGATGTAATCCTATCTAGAAGCGTAGATCTTTAGAAAGACGTGAAGGAGGATTATGCAATTCCTCTTTTACCAGACAACCCTACAATTTCTCAAATTAAAATTCAGCAAAGAACAGAAGCAAAGGAAAGCAAAGGCCAAAGCATGTTTATTCAATGTTGTATCACAAGGGATTTTTCACTAGAATCATGATGAAGTCAGCTAAAGAGATTTGGGATTTTCTCAAAAAGGAATATGAAGAAGATGAGAGGGTCAAAGGTATGAAAGCTCTCAACATGATTATGGAGTTTGAAATGCAAAAGATGAAGGAATCAGAAATTGTGAAAGAGTATTCTAATCGACTTCTCAACATTGCAAATCAAGTTACATTGTTCAGCCAAAAGTTCGAAGACTCTAGAATTTGTCTAGAAAAGTCTAGTTACTCTTCTTGAAAGATTTGAGTCCACAATCTTTTCTTTAGAGACCTCTAAAAATTTGACATCTATTTCCTTGACATAAGTATTGCGTGTACTTGAATATGAATAATTTCTTATTATTGAATCTGAATGAGTAAAATAAAATAAATAGGCTTTTTTCAAGAGTTGTTGTTGTATGTCTCACATTGGGGATCATGATGTTGTTGGCCATGGTAATTGTTGCATTTTATCGATCCAACCAATCAAAACAATTGATGAAAGGATCTAGCCGAACTGGCCAAGGCACGTTGAATGGTAGAACTTTGTGTTACCAATTAGTGACTATGTCACAGACTTGAAATCAGTATTAGATCAGAGTATACGCATAATTCAGATTGATATATGTGCAAATAGTGGTTGGCTTTCAAGCTCAATTACTTGTATGATTGATATATGTGCAAATAGTTTCCATGTTGCTTTGCCTGGTTGATGGAAAGGCTGATGTGTACTCACTTTTCATGCCCTTTCAATGATTTTGATTTATAATGTAATTTGTATCACATGATCCATATATCATATAATTTTAAAGTTACTGATTATTTCCTTGCCGCTTTACTTAGAACTAAGTGCAGCATAACTTTTTTCATGATTTAGATTGGGATGGACAAGGACTCTTCCTTATGGATGCTGCCATGCATGAATACAGATCTCATAAGTTCACTTAGCAAAAGGGGAATCTTCAATGTACAAGAATTACTAGACATTCCCAAAGCA